TTTTTTTTTTTTTTCAATTATATAATATACACAATCTTGTGTTATGGGAAGATAATACAAAATTAAAAAGGCAATATCTAAATATATGATTTGGAAAATTTGATAAAAATGTGAGTTAACTCGTGTTTTTCTCTAGAAAAAAGGGAGAAAAACTGAATCAACATTGATTTGTAGATTTGTGTGCATGATTCAATTCTCGGCTATTGTTTGTCCTATTTTTGTTATGTTTTTAGTTATTATTTTATTATTCGTTTATCCTAATTTTGAGTCATTTTATAAGTTTTATGGTAATTTTATCATTTATTGTGTAATTTGTAATAATCAAATAATGTTTATGATTCTGTATAATTTTTCCAGTATTTTTCCCTTTATTTTCAATAAAGTTGAATAGGTCGAAAACCTCGGAAGAATAGATTATGGAAATTTTTTAGGTGTGATCATATCATTGGAAAGAGGGGTTCGTTAGCAACGCACAGGAAAAAACGGAACTTAATTCTGAGTTCAAACGAGCCCGAACGAGTGAAAACCGTAAAACATACAAAGTTGCCGATATAGAAGCGGCGCTTCTACCTAGAAGCGGCGCTACTAGGCAGATTTCTGCAGCTACCTTTTCTTCCATAATGTAAGATGATGGAGTGTTATTTTGGTGATGATTAAGTCTTACCTATAGCTGATTTCTAGCTATATTTTACTCCAAATTCTCAGCTATAAATAGAGGTGATCCATGTATGTAAAATCATCAAGTTCATAAGTGAATAATAGTTAGAAATCTTGTAAAAATTCTCTTCTTTTGAAAGTTCTTCATCATTTATGAAAATTTCTTCTTATATATGACTTACATGATATTGTAAGTGATATTTCTATATCTTGTTGAAGTTCTAGTGATATATTGACATCAAGTTTTTAATAGTAATCGTAAGTTATCGTTACTTTATAAGTACAATGATAGCTTGGGTTATTATTGTTGTTTGTGTCGATAAAATCATGATGAACTAAACCTATTCCGTTAGGGATAGGGAAATGATTGTTTCAGTTCGATGATGATGTTATGTTATTTATTGCTCATATCGTTTCGAGTTGTGTGTATCCTTATGATTTAGTTGATTAAACACCTTCTAAATCTACTTAATTGATTTTTAAATCGAGAGGGGCGAGGTTGATTGATCTCGGCTCGAAACGAGTAAGCATGTTCGTAACTGTATTGCTTATTTGTTATTTGATACGAAAATATATTAATTTATGATTATATTCTTGTTACGAAAAGTTATTGAATATAAACCTCTAAATTAGTATGTTTATCGAATCACTTAACCGAGCAATAAATAATTTGGACTTATCATTAGAATTGAAAACAATTATTTCCCAATTCCCTAACACTTTTATCATCTTTATATTCTTATTGTCTTTATAATTATTGAATTTATTTACTACTTTAACTATAATTTTATGTTTATTAGTTAAATTAATAAAATTAGTAGATAGTAAAATTTCATAATAAAATTGATTAGAATGTTTAGGAAGTTGTTTTGATTATTTTTCGTAATCGACGAAAAATTCAATCCGGCTAAACTTTCCTTGAGAGGTCGATCCGTGGAACGAATCTTTTGATTTGGTAATCGGTAAAAGAAAAATAATTTGCTACAACAAATTTGGCGCCGTTGCCGGGAAAGTTTTAGGACTTGACTTATGCGCCTATTCGATTATTTATTTTTATCTCGATTTTTTTTAGTGATTTCTTGTTTTTGTGTTTCGCTTAAATTGTCTTGTTTTTCTTTGTGAATTCCTATTTTGATAATTCTCTCGACTATTTCTATTCTCCTATTAATTGGTAATTTTGAGGATTACTTAACAATTATTTACTCTTGTTTATATGGTGCTCTTAACGGTTTGCTTGTCTTCGTGTATGCGTACTAGGAGTGGACGAGTACTCATTCCGAGCGACAAATCCATTAACGAGGATTTACGAGAGTTGTTTGCCAACCTTTCTCTTGACTCGATAAGCTCCAAAAATCAAGGTGAAATGGCCCAAAATAATGAAGAGGAAGTAAACAATCCCCCGCAGTATCTTCTTCGAGACATGGCCCAACCGATGATTGGGCCGGTGACTTCTTGCATCCGTTTGGGACCTGCGGCTCAGAATTACGAGCTAAGAACAATCCACTACAACCAGCTCCCATCTTTCTATGGCTTGCCGAACGAAGATCCTCTCCATTTCATCCGGGAGTTCTATAATGTCCTCCAAACCCTTCCTCTTCAAGGGTTAAATGAGGACCAACTAAAGATGAGGTGTTTCCCGCACACGTTAAAGGACCGGGCAAAGGCTTGGTTTATGAATCTTGCTCCCGGCTCACTCACTACTTGGGAGCAAGTGTATTCCAAGTTCATTGGGAAATACTATTCCCACCAGAAGACCCAGGAGTTGAGAGGCCAAATCGTCTCATTTGCCCAACATCCCAATGAGCCATTCCATGAGGCGTGGGAGCGATTCAAAGACCTTCAAAGACAGTGCCCACATCATAATCTTCCATCCGGCCTATTGGTGAACAGCTTTTACGATTCTCTTGACAGAAACCTACAATACATGGTAGACAATGCCGCCAGGGGAGATATCGGTGCTCACACGGCGGAGGAAATGATGGAGATCTTTGAGACGATGAGTACCAACTCATCTCAAAAGAGCTTTTGGGGGAAGAGAATGCCGTAAACGAGGTCTCGCCTGGAAAAGATGCTATTGCTCGACAAATCGCCGAACTAACGGAACAAATGAGGTTACTCACCTCAAGAGGAGTTCAACCAATGCAATCCATGGCTGTTAATGTTTGCGGGGTGTGTGGAGTTCAAGGGTATGGATCGGAGATGTGCTCTTCGGCCTTCGATCAAGACTTTGGCGATCCACCGGCACACGCCAACGCTTTGCAGGGATACCAGAACCGACCGGTCAACGATCCATTCTCCAACACATACAACCCAAGGTGGCGAAATCACCCTAATTTCTCTTGGGTTAACAACAACAACGTTCAACAGCCCCGACAAAATTTTGCTCAACAACAACCTCGGCCCAATTATGTTCCCCAACAGCAAATGAGGCCGAATTACCCACAACAGCAGTTTCAACAACAACAAAGGGGACCAATTACTGGGATACAAAACCAGGAGACAGGACAAGGTTCGTCTCACCAAGATGATAGGTGAGACAAAGTTCTCCAATTCATGACCAACTAGGAATCATCAATCAAATGCCTAGAAACCCAAGTGGGGCAACTAGCAACTCGAGTTGGAAATATTGAGGCTGAGGCAGACAAAGGAAAGCTTCCCAGTCAACCCACGGAGGCCAAAGCAATAACGGTGTTGCGAAGCGAAAAGGTGGTCGATAACCAGGTGGAAATGCCAACTCCACTCGAACAAGAAAACCAAGATCAATTAATAAGGGACGATGTCATGGTAACAAACAAAGAAGGCGATGCAAAGAAAACTTCGGAGGACTCACTATTGCATAAAGCCTCGAATCCATACAGACCTCGTATACATTTTCCAGGACGATTGAAGGAGGAGAGGCAAGAGCAACAATTCCGAGACCTATACAACATGCTTTCGAAGGTTAATGTCAACCTTCCATTTCTAGACGTTATAAAAAATATGTCGTCCTATGTAAAATTTTTCAAAGACTTGGTGACGAGAAAGAAGAAGTTCGGAGACGGCGAGAAGGTGGTCGTTTATGAGGCGGCAAGTGCTATGCATCATGACTTGCCGAAAAAGGAACGTGATCCTGGGGGTTTTATAGTCAAAATTTCCCTCGGGAATGGGAAAGAGGCTTCGGGGATGTTAGATCTCGGAGTAGGGATCAACCTCATGCCATTCTCCATTTTCAAAAGCTTGGCGTCGGTGATTTACGGTCAACCCGAATGTGCCTCCAACTTGCAGACCGTTCGATTCGATATCCCAAGGGGGTAGTGGAGGATGTTCTTGTTCGTGTCGGGAAACTAATTGTCCCAGTAGATTTTGTGGTCTTGGATGTCGGAGACATACGGGAAAATGGGAAAGATCACACTATCCTTCTCGGCAGGCCATTCATGGCCACCACCAACACATTGATAGACGTAAAGAACGGGACATTGAACATGACGGTTTTGGGTGAATCGGTATCCATATAGGTTCGAAAATCCACATCAGCATCCTCGATAAACTTTGTCGAGGAATGTGCCTTTGTTGATAAGATGGATCCATTAGTTGAGGAGATAGCCATTCGGGACTTGGAGGAGAGATTGATGCCAGAATTTACTGAAAAAGAGGAACTGACCATTGAGCTCTTTGAGGTCAAGGAACCCCGGCAAATTGATCCACCGCCACTAGAGTTGAAGGAACTTCCATCACATCTCAAGTATGTGTTCCTTGATGACGAGAAGCGGCAACCGGTGATAATTTTTGCCGAACTCAATTTAGAAAAAGAAAAGGAGCTCGTTGGGGTGTTACAGAAAAATCGAAAAGCGATCGGTTGGAGTCTTGGCGATATCAAGGGCATCAGCCCTTCCACGTGTATGCACAGGATAATTTTAGAAGAAGGAGCTAAGCCATTTCGGGATAGCCAACGAAGGCTAAATCCGAATATGATGGAGGCCG